TTTTTTTTTACAATCCTTTTAATCACAGATTTAGGGTTTAAATGTTGTTGTTGTTGATGTTTAGTGAATCGAAGAGATACATGAGCATCAATAATACATGATAATAACCGAAAAGTGACATTAACAGACGTGATATCAGGTGAAATGTACTGTACCGGTATAACCTTTTTTTTAAACAGTATTCTAAAAGATATGATTAAGGTTTCAGACTCTTTTTCGGTTATCAGCATCTTTTGAGGAAACTCCATGTACTGTAGCAGAAAAATGTCAACAAATAATATGAAGTGTATGTAGTGCAGTGGATATAGAAAGCTCAATTCCTAGCTGCTATATATTTGTAGAAAGTTGTCAAAGAGTTAGATATTTGGCAGACCTTTCTTATACATATGTCTTAAAAGTGGTTGCGAGGATTTATAAAACCAAAAAAACAAACTGATTCCTATTAATTGAAAATTATTGAAAATAACGTCAGGTAATTCGAGTAAAATGGACTTCCATCATAATTTTACATATTCATAATGTGTTTATACAGCCTCTCTAAAGAAAAACACATTCCATACATGTTTTCAGCCTGTTTTTGTTGTCATTTTCTGTCCAGCTTGTAACATCTCCTCTTTGCTAGCCAAGCGTTCATTTTGTATTCACATGTTCATGTAGTCAACCTTAGTTGATTTAGCCTTGTTCTCTAAACTTTCAAATTACTGAACCTGGCACAGGGACTTGGCACAAATTACCATCCCACGGTCCACATTTTTTTTTTTATATCATTCATCATATAATACACATGTATGAACTTTGGGCTAGAAATTAATACCAAGTCCCTGTGCGTGTAAATAATAATGGCAGCGCCCAGTACCAAGTTGCCTTGTCGACTTTGTCGATTTATGTAAAAAAGAAAAAAGAAAAAGGAGGACATTACTTAAAGAAACTTTTTCTGTATTTGATCAGTTGGTAAAGAGATATTTGGCCATATTCTAACTGTAAATGATAACCAAGAGAAATACATAGGCGACCAGTGCTGAAATAATCTTGAAAGTTTTGCTAGTAAAGTGTCACTGCTAGGTGGCAGTGGAGGGGAAATTAAACACAAGGCTAAATCTGCCAAGGTTGAATAGTACAAATTTAAATCATGAACCCTTGGCTATCTATTGAAGATGGTGAGATAACGAGGTTCGATTGTGAAATAAGATGTGCATTCAGCAGTATGCTCCAGTGAAATTACACTTTAAAGTCAGCATCAGTTCTGCGCTATCACAAGCTTAAGGAGACAAACATGAACATACAATGCACAGACTCCCAAAACACAATCATATATTTTTATCATTCTCACCCCGTTCCCTATCATAATGTGACTATTTGTTCCACCGTCTGGACCCTCGCGACAGATGAGAGCCCACGAACTTGACAAACTTATCAGCTCTGAAAGGAGGTTGAAACATACAGGCTGAGATCTAAACCGATACTCGTTTCAGACAGCAAAGGTTTTTCATTACGTAATGCCCACATAGCTAAATACCCCGTGGTCCAATGTTATCCATGTGAATCATGGTGCTCACCTGGAACCACTACTAAGCAGTTGTGTGCTACTATCAGGGATCGTATACCCAAGGCCATAAGGAGACACACTAACATTACGATTTATTTATGGATCGGAACATGTGATCTATCCAACAAGGACAACTATAGTTAAAAGCTACATTTAGCGTGTTGGGATGATTCGATCGTCAACAATATTATTGACGAACTCAAAACAATTAATGATTTCATCTCTAATTTGGACTCGGTAACGCTGAAAATTATTGACTGTTCACAATACTCAATTACCGCCTTGAATGTGTGGAGGAGATACTCGGCAGACACGGACCAAGCAACACTAGCAAATCCACGCTATAAACTTGGAAAACAATGTCAACAGCCTCTTCTTCAATAATTGTCTAACCCGCTCATGTGTGGGACGTAAGAACAAAGGTACCCGTTACAGCATTAATCTGAAACTGTATATAGGGACGGTATCCATCCCGGATATAAATTAGCAGACAGGGTGTGATCAGGATTAGACTAACCATTTTCAAGATTGAGTCGGCAAGGTAACCTTGCCACTCTCCATTGAAGTACCTGGCTAAATACACAGTGTTTACCTGGCTGGTCATGCTCGGCAGGGTAACTCCAGACCTATCTCCCAGATATATACAACACTGTAGGGTACGATCAGGTGTATATTGACCATATTCAAATATGAATTGGTTGGTTACGTTTACAGTGTCTACTTGGTTGGATGTACTCGGCAGGGTGACTATGCCAGTTCTAGGTCTGACTCTCGTAATCACTGTCCCTCGAGTCAAACACCTGCAGTTTTACTAACAGTATCCACATAGATAAACTACCATCTACCTTCCAATATGGAGTGTGCTTTGAAACCAAGTACCCTTTCGCATGTACTAAGGGCACGGAAAAGACAACGAGACGATAACTCTGTGTTGGCATGCAACGAATGTGATTGTAAACTAGACACTAAACTCATAGAGTGTAACAAGTGTAATCTATTATATTGTTACAAATGCACAGGGCTGTCAAGTGGACTCATCCAGTGCCTTGAGGCAGGGGACTTAGAGGACTTCAAATGGTTATGTACATGTTGTAACCAGATGGAACCCACACTGGCTCGGATTGAAACCTCCCTTCAGAAGATGCAGATCCAAACAGAGACCAGAATGATCAGTATAGAAAAGAAAATCTGAGAAGTAAAAGAATCTCAAGATACTAAAATTAAAGAACGCTTAACTAACATGAGAGAATCTGTTATGGAAGAACTCAAAAAGGACATTGTAAATTTGGTTGATAACAGAACCAGAGAACTACATAATTGTAAGCAAAGGGAGACAAATATAGTTCTTTTGAACTTCCCAGAATCGAAGAAAGAAGTAGGATTAGAACGGAAATTAGAGGACGACAGTCACCTAAGAAGGCTTGCATCAAAACTTGGTGTTGAAGATCTAGAAATTGCGACTCAGTTCCGAATTGGAACAATCCACATGAAAAAATTGTCCACTAAAAGTGGTTCTAGGAAGCAAAAGCCAACGTCAAACACTACTAGAAAAAGCACCATCAATAAAAACAAAGGTCAATCCCAGATTCAAATCTGTTATCCTCACCAGGGATCTTACAGATGACCAGCGAGAGGAAAGGAGGAAAAAATGAGGCCAAACAATCCCCCGAAAAGTAACAAGGTAGAAGAAAAAAACAATGGACCTAGATCCGTAGAAGAGGAAAAGGAAACAACTAACCAAGTACCTCCTAGTCCCATACCACTATCTCAAGAACTGTCCCATTTGATGAGTGAGTCGATATTCGAACATGGGGAGAATACTACTCTGGTTTATAGTCATCACACTGTTGTTGACAGCCCGTCTACATCTCCTGACATTAACAGAGGCTAGGATATTTGTTTTAACGAGGATTTTAAAACTGTAAATAGCGGAAATTTTAGCCATCTTGAAACGCAGAATTCCCTCCATATTTTTAATTCAAATGTTGATGTATTGACACAGAACAAGATGTCTGAACTTGAGGAATTCGTCACTAACAACAACCCTGATATCATAGCCTTGACAGAGATCCATTATAAAAATCCAGTTATGACAAATAAATCAGACTTCTACAATATACCAGGATATGACACCCACCTGGACATGTCCAACAACAAGAGGGGTGTGACCATATTCACCAAATCTAAACTCCAAGCAATAACAGTCTAACCAATGGTCGTTTTTTCAGCTACAATTCTTTAAGAATGCACAAGAAATGAATTCCTCTACCAACATGTTATCAAACCTACCAGATTTAGAGAAGGTAATCAACCCTACACCTTAGATCTTGTTTTTACTAATGAGTAGGGAATGCTAGAAATACACTATGAACCCGGACTTGGACTAAGCGATCATCTCTCTCTGAATTTCGAGCTCTGCCTATATACTGAAAATGTTACCAGCAAAGTAGAGAGATTGAACTACCATAAAGGCGACTACACAAAGATCAGAGAGAAAATCAAAGATGTCAACTGGCCAGAACTGCTGTCTGTCAAAAATGTAGATGAGTCATGGAAGGTCTTTGCAGAGACTATATCAATTATCGTAAAAGAACACGTACCAGTGAGCAAGATCAAAAATGAAAAGTTTACTCATAGAACACCACTTGACAGGGAGGCAGTCCATGCTATTTGGCACAAGAAAACCAGATGGAAAAAGTACCTTCATTGTAAAGACGAAAAGAACTGGAATGAATACAAAAAAGCCAGAAACCAAGCTTTGAAACAAATAAGAACATCTAAATACAATTATGAAAGGAGCATGGACATGGACATCAAATCAAATAGTAAGACATTCTGGAAATACATTTGGTCTAAGACCGAGACTAAAAGTACAATTGGAAATATTAAAGACGCCAATGGTGATTTGACATCTAACAATAGAGACAAAGCTGAGATCATGAACAACTACTTAACAAGTGTTTTCACCGTCGAAACAAATGAACCACTACCAGTGTTCAATACAAGAAACTATCGGGAACCAATCAACTATCGGGAACCAATCAACGACCAGTACATCATCTGGTGTCGCAAAAATGCCTTTGTGATCCCCATACATAAATCCGGATCAAAAACTAGCCCAGAAAACTATAGACCAATCAGTTTAACATCAGTTATTGGGAAATTAATGCAAAGGATGCCATTGTGGATCATAAGGACACCAACAATCTATTTTCCAAGTGTCAACATAGATTCACCAAGTGTTACCCAGCTACTAGAGGTTCTTGAAGATTGGTCAGAACAAATAAACAATGGACATCAGATAGATGTTATATACCTTGACTTTAGCAAGGCATTTGGCACTGTCCCTCACAAACGACTGTTGTTTAAATTGGAACAATATGGGATTCAAGGGAAGCTACTCCAAATGAATAAAAAAAAATCTAAGCGGGATGAATCCAAAGGTGGTGATCAATGGTGAAATACCCAATACCAGGAATGTAACTAGTGGTTTCCCACAAGGGAGTGTCCTAGGACCACTTTTATTCCTGATATTTGTCAACGATATGCCGGAAGTCGTACAATCCATAATTAAATTATTTGCTGATGATACAAAGTTATACTCCCGAATTTCGAACGACGATGATAAGAATACTCTTCAGGACGATATCCACAGATTATGTGACGACTGGACAAAAGTTTGGAACATGAAACTAAATGGAAAAACACATGTCAGTAGGAAAATCAAACCAGAGACTCGGCTTACACAACAAAAAATGGACTAAATGAAGTAACCATTGATAAAGTGATTAAAGAAAAGGATTTGGGAGTAGTATTTGACCATTATTTAAACTTTAGTGACCATGTCAACGAGTGTGTCTCCAAAGCCAACAGAATCCTCGGACTAATATTTCGGACATTCACAGTTATAAACAAAGACATGTTTATCCAATTGTTCAAAAGTTTAGTGCGGCCACACTTGCTATATGCCACCTGCATATAGTCTCCAATGTTTAAAAAAGATCAAATTGCTGTTGAAAACGTCCAACGCAAGGCAACAAGATGCCTACCATTCCTAAAAGGACAATCCTACAGTGAGAGACTTTGTACGCTGAGTCTCCCCAGTTTAGAATATAGAAAAATGAGAGGAGACTATTTTGTGTTTTGATACAAAATGTTATGTATATATATTGCATATATATGCATATAATTGAAATACTTGAATAAAAGAAAGTTTAAACTAACATTGGTTACAACAAGAGGAAATTCCAAAAAGCTCTTCAAGAGAAGGATGAGGCTTAGCGTAACCAAGAAACTGTACAGTAGTAGGGTCGTGGACGTGTGGAACTATCTCCCAAACATAGTTGTAGAAGCCCCCTCCCTGAATGGTTTTAAATCTCGGTTAAACAATCACTGGCGTCATCATCACCAAAAATGTGTACCAACATGTTACTCACAACCGAACATGATTAGAGAACAATATCAAGATGCGTCCCAAGAAGCTAGATCAGCTTACATCGACGTCGACACTTCATGAAAACTACAAGAAAATTTGAATGTAATACATTTGATTCTCTATTACCTGAGCTGGAACGCATTCGTAGCCATACCGAGACAATACAATACTGTGGTATAACTGTATATATATTGTGTACATAGTGTAAGCGTCTGCGATACCAGCTGTTCTAACTTACAAACGTGAATGGTGACGAGAAAGAACATGAGAGTAACGTTTTTGACTTTTGACACGAGCTGTAGGCAATTCACACTTTTCAATTCGTACTATTCTTGTCTTTGGATTACGACGCTTTAACTTGTAAGCGAAAATTACATCACTGGCGTCACGAGCAGCATCAATACTAAACACGCCTTTTAATATTAATGGCTACCAAACCCGTGCTCCAGGTTACAAATAAATACTATGTCCCAATCTGGACTGGTTTTTAAGTTTTACTAAGTAAGTTGTTTTAGTGCTAAATTTTGTACAGCATGATTATTTAGCCTCTTTATCTTAATCCTTCCAACGTAAAATTTGTTGTTTGCCTTTACACTGTTACAATGTTTTACTATTTATATATATAAATGTTTGTCGAACTACAGGCTCCTGAGAGCTTATGTTAACTATGACATAAATATTCAACATAATATAATGATTCTTGTATCTTGTATTTTGATGTAACATGCCACTATGCTTTTATCTGATAGTTTTAAGATAAAAAAAACAACACCCACACACAACCTTTAATCACGAACTTTTCCTCGACAATGCGCCTATGTATAATCTTCGGCACGATGAAGGACACAAGTTAAGGTATACTGTTGATGCTGACATGTACAAATGTATGTAAACTGTAAAACGAAAGTAGGTCTGCGCGATCGCAAACATTTAATGCTGATATTTTTGCATAAGTTTCAGTTAGTACTTGATGTGATAGTAATGGATTAAATGAATGTTACCTTGTGTTGTATTCTAGCACATCAGTGTCTCAATACATACGGTATTAATCTGTTAATGTTCGATAAACGTCTTTTTTTTTTTTTACCGTCCTGATTATGTTGTGAGGTATTTCCGGGTTACGTTCTCGTATCAAGTGCGCTTCCGGTTACGTCAGAAAATACAATTTTTCAATTCACAAAATCTTGATATTCATTAATTAATGATAGTTAAAAGAATAAACGACTTAACAAAAACAATATCAATAAATTGTAAATATTATCTTCTTGAATGTTTGCGAAGCAGACGACGTTGGATCATAATCTCAAAACTAGACCATTTTTTCCAAATGTGTTTTAACATTTGAAAGAAAAAAGTTTGAAGGGGAAAATCTCTATTTGTTTTTTTATTAATTAATAAAAGTGATACAGAAAAAAAATATAGTAACAATTGATATTTAAATTTATCAAAAACATCATCCTTGGATAGTATGTTCTGGGCATGATCGTTTGAAGCTTTGCAATACTTCAAACTCTTTCAAACGCGCATCAGCTCGAGATTAGGTCCTGTTTACAAAATGGCGACTGGAAGTAGCAAGGCAATCGGGAACCGTCGGCACTTTCCGTAAACGAGAAAATACCTCGGGAGTAACTAGGTTGCCGCCATATTAGTTATCTAATTACCATATCGGGACCTACATTACGAGGAGACCCACTTTGTAAACAAAGATGGATGCCTCCATGCAGCTAAAATGTGGATACCCCAATTCGGTGTGAAAGGGATGGATTCTGAGTAAATCATTAGCGTTTATGAGTTTGAGATGTGCGTGTGTCTTTTCAAATTTTATATTGTATTTATCTGATGTACTGTATTGATTTATTTAGACGGCATTATATGTATTAGCTCATGGAGTTATTTTGATAATCACACAGCTCTTTGAAATTATTAATGTATATAAACAATAGTGATATATGATATCTATAACCATGGATTTAGATCCGTGCGATAACAGAGGTAGTACTGTATCTATTTTTATAGTTCTTACTCTGTGTTTTATATAAATGTAGTGTTGTTAAACGCTTTATTGTCAGAGTTCCAAAAACAATTCAGATAAATGTATGTAGTAGGAAAATTTAAGTTTAAACATTTTTAAAGTATCAGTATTTTCTTGGAATGCACTGATTCTGAATTAGTGTAATCTACTAAATGGATTTAGATAAATCCAATTTCTTATTTTGGCAACAAAATATTTCAGGTAAGAAGCTAGAGGATTTTACTAGGTAGCTGAACGGAAACACATATTTTGTTTAGCCTCATCACGGAATTAGACTATCTAAGTATGTGGCCTCATCACGGAATTAGACTATCTAAGACTGTGGCCTCATCACGGAATTAGACTATCTAAGACTGTGGCCTCATCACGGAATTAGACTATCTAAGTCTGTGGCCTCATCATGGATTTGCGTTATTTTTCATAGAAAAACCACAAGTAATTTTGATTGAAGTTAATATTATAGTCATGCAGTTATCAGCTCTGAATTGAATTTCCAGTGGGGAAATTTATAATGACATATTGCCTTTAGGTTTCATATGGACTCCATCTTGAACCAAAACTAAATAACAAAATAAGCTAAAGCCGCGCATTCATAAAAACTTTTAAAAAAAGAAGAAATTCAATTTCACTTGGTAGGGTACATATCAATAAGGTGTTTCATAACTGTAATGTGTTAACTAAGTATTGTTAGATGCACATTATTGAACGGTGTTTTATGTATACTGTGATGTCACTCTCCTGTCTATTCCACAATACATAAACCTTAAATTAACGCCTCTTAAATGCTAAATATAAATATTTTCCTAAATTGGATAGCTCTCTAACATTATTCATACTAAGTAGTTATATTAATTTAAAAAACGAGGGTTTTCTGTAATAATATTGTTTGATTAATCTGTGCCTGAGATCGCTATAAAATGGACAAATCAAAATAAAATGAAACTCGTCTTCTATATCTCTCAAATTACATTTGTTACAAATCCTGTTTCTGCGTGTGACGTTATGATGTCTTCCAATTTCTATATTTAATTTATGAGACGATATCCTAAATTTAGTTAACATTTGTTTGTATTTATTTTCAATAGGTTTACTTAAATAAAATTGAATACAATGACTATCTATTAAGTGTTGATATAAAAACCCTTTAGGAGAAGCCGTTACTTTTGACAATATGCTTTGTTTGGAAGTATCTATCAGTCTCTGTTCTATTATTTTAAAAGAAACATTAAATGGTAATGAAGAGTCAAACATATAATTCTGTCCTAAGGTTGCTAACTCAGTCTTAATATTTCTTACCTACAAATCATTCTCACTCACACACTCATCGTAACATGTTTTCAAATCTAATTATTCGTCTGCTTTAATTTCAACCAATATTTAAACACTCTTAATTTTCTACTTACAAACAAATGTAACCTTCCCAACTCACAGTATATTAAATCATTACATGAAGTTTTTCGTACCTTTAATATTTTTTTACAAAAGTTTAAATGGACACTTTCTACATCCGGGGCTTTATGAAACCCCCATATTTCAGACGCATAATCAAATATCCCCGCGGTTCAGAGTAATAGCGGGGATTATTTGTCTCGTGCGGCACTCGTTTGCTAGTTGGAGCACGAGCGGCGAGTGCTGTCACCTGTCCACGGGACAGGTGAGCATGGGGCCTATAGTATAGGTTCATTTCTAGTCGCTTATTCGGGACGCGCGGTTCACATCAAACTTTGACTACGAGCATGAATATGGAGGGGGAAGCTATCAACCCCTATATCAATGAGGCTATAGCAGAGAAGGTGAAAGATGCGGTTGCCAATACGCAGAACCAAGTCCTTTCCCATTTGGACCGGCTTATATCTAGCAAGCTGGACGCTTTTGAATTAAAAATTTCCAGTAATTCTGAGGCACAGATATCGAAACTACAGCAAAATATCGCGAGTGTGGATTAACATAAATTCAGCAAGAAGAGTTGTGAGGACCAGTATAGGTTCAACAC